GTGTGGCACTGTGAGTTAATGCTCTGGACTGCAAGGACAGTTTGAATTGCAAGGTAGGCAGTTCAAGCTCACCAGCCACTCCTCGGAAACCCAATACAGGGTCACTATGAGTTAGAACTGACTTGAAGGCACTTAACAATAACAACAACAACATGAGTCAGAACCAACTCAACTGGACTTAGCACCAACATAGAACCTGAACTAATCCTGCAATAAGGATATACAACCACTAGATGTCAGTAAATGTATTTAAAATTCAAGACCAAAGCAAAGATGTGACTTCTTGTTGTTAAGTGCCGTGGAGTCAGTTCCGACCCATAGCGATCCTGTATAGAGTTTTGAAAGAGCAGCTGGTGATCTTGAACTGCTGACTTTGTTGTTCAAAACAACTTTGCAGTCCAGTGCATTAACCCACAGTACCACACCAGAACTCAAAAGATGCTACTTAGATCAGCATTTAAAAAAAACCTCATTCTTTCATTTTCTTATATGTTGTAAGTTAGAAACCACAGATTTGTTTTTAAGATGATAATCTTAAACCTTGTAGTAAAGGATCTCCTGTCTCAGGAATGTTGTTTGGTGTTCTGTGCATCGAGTTGATTCTGGCTCATAGGCACCTGTGAATATAGGACAGTAGAACTGTCCCCTAGGGTTCCCTAGATTGTCATTTTTATGGGAGCAGATCACTAAGTCCTTTTGCCTGTGGAGCCGCTGATGGATTTGAACTGCTGACCTTTTGGCTAGCAGCTGAGTGCATGATCATTTTGCTACCAGGGTTCCTTCCCTCAAAAATACACTCAAGCTTAGCCATCCAACATTTTGTGTATGATTTAAGGGGAAATCTTGATTTAAAACTGTAAATGTGATATTCACATTACAAAAATTCATTGTTAGCTGAAATATTGGCCTGGTGTGGCACTGTGGGTTAATGCACTGGACTGCCAGGTCTATTGGAACTGCAAGGTCGGCGGTTCAAGTTCACCAGCTGCTCCTTGGAAACCCTACACAGGGTCGCTATGGGTCAGAACTGACGCAACGGCACTTATCAACAACAACAACCTTTAAAATATTAGCAAAAACATCTAGATCAGTGACTGCCTAACTAGTTGCACATTAGATTCACCTGGAAAGTTCTTAAAATTGCTAATTCCTGGACACACAAATTCATCAGTATTTACAGCATGCCAGCATCAGTATTTTTTAAAAGAAATTTCCCCATTCTACCAGGGTAAAGAATGACTGGTCCACATGAATGTTTACATTTGATGACAACACCCAAAGGCAACATCATTGGTTCTCAAACTGGGCTGTTTTTCCCCAAACCCTGAAATTGTGATTTATAGGCAATCTCCCAGTTTTGAACGAACAGTCACGAACAAGATCTGAGATCTGTTCCTAATGGCGCCGTTAGGTAAGTAGGAACAAGTGCACCATGGGTCTTATTTAGCCTTACGTTACAGCAAGAAAACGCTGGGGCCCTTTCAGTGATTTCAAAGCTGCACCTGCAGCCAGTGAAGGTGATGGTGATGAAGAATTTGTTGCACGTAGGGCTTGGTTCAAGGGGCTCCGGTAGCATAGTGGTTATGAGTTGGGCTGCTTACCTCAAGATCAACAGTTCAAAACTTACTAGCTATTCCGCAGGAGAAGATGAGGCTTTCTGCTCCGGCAAAGATTTACAGCCTCGGAAACCCTATGCAGGGTCAATATGAGTTGCAACCAACTCCACACCATAACCACCACCACGGATTGGTAAAGCCATTTCAAAGTGAGGGCAAAATTTACCTACTAAATTTTAACCTAACACTGTGGTGCTGTGGGATAAAGTACAGACCACAAGGTTTGAACCACAGGGTTGGTGGTTCATACTCACCAGTCATTCCTTGGAAACCCTATACAGGGTTGCTATGAGTCGGAACCAACTTTAACAATAACAACAAAGGGTATGTAGGAGTTGTCCTTAAGTTCATCAGAAGTTCAGAGGTGTGCAATTGGGGACTGGCTATAAATGAGGTGGGCTGTGGCCTGACCACAGAAGTGGGGCCAGTGTATTTAAAAGCTTGTGAGATGACTCATATGGAGCAAAGTTTGAGAACCCCTGGGCTATGGAATGGAACCCTGGTGGCACAGTGGGTTAAGTATTAGGCTGCTGACCATATGCAGTTCAGACCCACCAGTTGGTTCTTGGGAGGAAGATGAGGCAGTATGTTCCCATAAAGATTTACAGCCTTGCAAACCCTGGAGAACAGCTTTACTCTGCCCTATAGAGTCCTGATGTGGTACTGGACTGCTAACCCCAAGGTCAGCTGTTCAAACCCACCAGCTGATTCTCGGAAACCCTATATTGACTCTGAGTCAGAACTGACACAACAACATTTAACAATAACAGCAACAACATAAGGTCATTTGAGGCCTGGTGTGGCACTGTAGGATAAGCATTAGACTGGTAACCTCAGGGTTTTCAGTTCAAACCCAGCAGCCGCTCTTGTAAACCTTGTACAGGGCTGTTGTGAGTCAGAACCAACTTGAATGCATTGCAACAACAGCAACAACATAAGGTCATTATGAGTCAGAATTGACTCAGTGTTTTGGGGTTATAGAAATTGCTTAGAGGTACTGACATTATACTAATGATCCTTGCTATCACACGAGTCTTGGTGTGGCACTGTAGAATAAGCAGTGGACTACTAACCACAGGTTGGCAGTTCAAACCCATCAGCTGATTCTGGGAAACTCTGTACAGGGTGGTTATGAGTTGGAACCTACTCAGCTCCACTTAACAACAACAACATGATTGATTTCTGTTTAATCTACTCCGTCTGATCGCCAGCTTTGAATGCTTTTGTTTCCCTGGATTTGGAATCAGCCTCCTCAAGAGCTTCATCTGTGACTTTAAATTTCAGGCCATTTTGGCACCAAAAGTACCCCTGGGACTTTAGCCTCACCCCTCTTGGCTCCAGCTTTCTCTGTCTTATTCACAAGTGAGCCATTTCACAGCCACTAAACACAGACTAATTAAGGGAAAGGTCTTGATTTGCCCTTAAGTACTCTGCATTGGGCAGGAAGGCCTGCCTTGTCTTCTGGAATCTGTAAGCATCTTCTCTTTTCATACACAGAGAAGGGAAACTTGTCGTTTATGATACATGCCTACATTTCGAGAAATCCCTCACTGTATTTTGCAAACTGGAACTCTCAAAGCTTTATTTTGCTTTGGTTTAGAGTCAGGAATGTCTCCCTGGACCAGAAAACATTCTCAGTGGTGGCTGTGTGTCATGGAGTTGGTTCTGACTCATAGTGACCCTGTACAGGGTTTCTGAAGCTGTAAATCTTTACGGGAGCAGAACGCCTCACCTTTCTCCCACGGAACAGCTGGTAGTTTCGAACTGCTGACCCTGTAGTTCGCAGCCTGATTTGTAACCACTAACACTACCAGAGCTCCTTGGTGGTGCTTA